AACTTTTTTGAAATTGCCTTGGATTAAAGAAACTTCTTAGATTAAAAAAATTAGATATGTTAGAATTATATGTGCCCTTTGATGTTCATTGGATCTAGCAGGCATCTTTCTGTGAAGCAGCAAGACTAACATGGCTGAGGCACAAGCTGTTCAGTGACCTGAAACTGGCAGTGGCATTCTAGAGAGTAGTTCAACAGAACAACAGTATAGGTATGTGGAGAAAGAATCAGAAAAGCCAAGGATATTAAACAAAAAAAGTAGAGCAAACAAACAAAAAATGACAAAACAAAACTACAAAGAAACCTCAGCAAAACATATTATGTTTCTAAGATGACAAAGACTTAAGAGTTAGGGCTAGAGTAAGAAAATAATAGGTTATACACTGATCTTCAAAGTAGCTAGTTTTGCTGAAATTCATCCAAGAGCATGGAAGATTTATGGCTATGGCAGCTGTCCACTAGTCTTGAGAAGTTGTGGAGAATGGCTACATAAGGCTGAAAACTGTTAGGTATGCCATCTTTCATTAAAAAGAGAAAAAGAGGAAGATGCAGAGATTTATGAACAAGTTGCCTTGCTTCAGTTATCAACAAATAATTACAGAAGTATAAGGTCTTAATGACAGACAGAATATATTTATCAATAAGAAATCATGTCAGATTCCCTTAGTTTATTCCTTGAAAAGGCAGAGACACGGTGGATAGGGAAGAAACAGTAGATGTGATATATATTTAACTTTCACAGTATGTGAAATGACTTTTGAAATAAGTAAGAAGATATGGACAAAGATTAAATGATGTGAGACTGTTGATGACTCATTGTCAAGCCATGAAGATATATCAGTGGGGGGCTAGACACATCCCATTGTGTCTGGGGTGGTATTCAGTGTTGTCGTGAGTCATTCAGATGATGGGAGTGGAGAGCACACTTCTCATTGAGCATCAAGCTGGGAGGATCCGAAAGCATTTTGGAGGACAGGATTAGAATTAAATTCTTTTTTGACAGACTGGAAAAATGGCCTGAATTAACCAGGAGCATTTATGTGTAATTCCTCTGATGTATTCAGCTTGAGTTCAATTTTTGACTAGATGGGGAGAGTTCAGAATAA